TAAGATTGAGAATATTAAAATATACTGCCATTAATATGGTACTAAAAGGTATATCTAGTAAATTTCATTTAAAAAATTAATTATTATTCCAACAACCAGATATTTTCAGGAAACTTTGACGTACTCGGCAGGCATGCAAAAATTAACTATAACAAAACTAATCCAGAAAAAAACCTAAGAAGCATAGCGTTGGTGCATTTCAATGTAGTAAAAGCCAGCAATATGATCAATAACATTTTCACCTTCCAAACATTACTAATTCTGAACCTCAGTTTTGGTATGGCCATCATTGCTGCAGATAAAATTATACATTCAAGTAGTAACGATGCTTTTACTACCTATTGGGATGCTTTCTGGTGCACAATGACAATTTTTGAAACGATGTTCGTGTTCATAATTGTTACCCAGCTGATCGAAGAGGTAATATAATAAGTAGTATTGCATCTGTTTGGTTCTTTACTTGAAATAAAAATATTAAGGAGCATATAAAAAAAACTTAGGTCGAGCGCGATGGGGACCTAAAATGGCCGACTTAAATTCTTCGGACTTATCAGTGCCGTTCTAATTTTATTCGAAACTTATTATAAACATCTTGGAATAAGAAGACTAAGGAAGGAGCATAATTCTATCCATGTATTTTTGCATGGTGGGCGGAAAAAGGACTCTAGGGTGGGGATTCTTGACAGTTCTGTTTGACGATTCATTTGACACATTTGAATTTGATTTGAAATTTTGTGGATTTGTCAGTCTTTACGGAGCTTATTTTATGTTATTTATTATTTATTCTACTACTGATAGTAGTACAAAGGTAGTAAATCTAGATGGAAATTGTGCCAAAACTTAAATTAACAGTGACACTATCGCGATTTAACGAAAAAGACTCTAAAATAGTTGGTTGTGTAGCGTGCGCTAGATCTCGGCAAAAATCGAGTGAAATAATGGAACAACTTTTCGCTAGTAAGTGAGTATATAATATACATACGTGTAGTAAACCGAGCATTTATGAAATTCACTTAAATTAACTAATTATATATTTTTTCTTGCATTTTTGCTTTTATTTACTACTTGTCAAAGATTAGATGTCAAAGAATTTAGATACGTCAATTTGACTTACCTGCTTCAGTAGAGTATCGGATGTTTGTGTTAATAAATAATTATTAAAACTTATCTATTTTATTATAATAATATGTTTTTATACCAATTTTAATAACTACCAACATTTATTCACAACGTAAAATAAAAAAAATATTGAGTCTACCCCACGTCTACACTACATCATAGTTTTATATTTTTTAAATAAAATTAGAACAGCAGTGATAAACCGGAATTTAAGTCGGCCATATTTAAGTCCCATCGCGGTGGACCTAGGATTTTTGATATGCTCGTTCCTTAAGCCGGAGTCTCATGCATCCGAAATCCGATGACACGACGATCCGGCGGTGCTCCTATTGGTCGAAATATTTTGACACCAATTTTTATCCGATATTTTTAACTAATCGTCCGACGTCGTATAAAGTTAAATTTTGTTTAACTTTTGTACGATATCGTGTGTATTTTAACCTCACTTTTTTTGAAAACATTGGTTTTTATAAACAAGTTTAGTGGGAAAGGGTCAATTTCGGGATATTTGGCGAGGAAGTTATTTTTATAAGTGTTTCTCCAATAATACATGTAATAATGTTGATACTGTTGATAGGAAATGACAGGTCTAAATGCCAAAACTGTCAAATTTCGGAACGAACTTTCGGATTGTATGTGACAGGCTTTTTTTATTTCACAGGATAACTTCAAATTTCGGATGTCGTACCATCGGATTTCGGATGCATGAGACTCCGGCTTTAGTCTTCTTATTCAAAGATAAACATATATATTTCTAATAAAAATACGTACCTAAGTCAAATTGACGTATCTAAATTATTTTTGACAAGTAGTAAATAAAAGGGAAAATGCAAGACAAGGACTGTATATATTCTAAAGGACTGTTCGATCGCGTCAAATCGCCGCTGTCGTAGTCGCCGTGGAATGCTACGTCACGCGCTGACCAGCGCTCCACAGTGCGGCGCATGGTTATTCTAGCGGGACAAAATCTCAAGAGCAATGTTTGGGACTTAAAATCTAAGAACGTAGCAAATGGTCTAATATATAGCAACTATATGGTTAAATTTATTTATTTATTAACAACTTAATTTATTAATAAATAAATACAAGATAATAAAACTATGATATTATTCGTACATGATACACAAAAACCGTATTGTAAACTATTGCCAAATACATAAAATTATGATATCAAAAAACTCTTTAGCAGTTATTTTTAAATTAATTTGTAATCTTGTGACACCCTCTATAATTTATTTTAAAAAAATATATTTTATTTTGAAAATAATAAATAAGATAGATATTTTAATTTTAATTTTAACACTCGGTAATTGTAAATTCATATATTAAGTATCTAAGACAATTTTTTAAACTCAGTGCCTTTTGATGGAGTTGTTTTGTTTTTATACTATCCGATTGAAATGAATCTTTTTGGGCATTCACCTGTTAAGCTTGAACTCCCTGTGACTGCGACTACCTGTGTTGGTAACTATTGGTAACTCAAAAGATCTACATCATTCAATATATCGATATTTGAAAAAAAAGTGTAAGTTTGATATCTGCAGAACAAAGGCACGAAGGATTTTAACAAATAATATACATACAGTAGAAAAGTACATACCTTTGGCAATCTTCAACATAATTTGGCTTTCTAATAAAATGTATAAGCATTTGTAAATATTTTGTTTTCGTATGATCTCTGCCTTGCTGAGCAGAAAACGACCAAATTTGGTTGATAAAAATGTATCGAAATACAAAGAATATTCATGCATTTTTTATCAATTGGAATGTCTACTATTTATTCTTATCAGTACACATTTTTTGGCTTATTTCTAACCAAACGCTTTTGTCCCGCTAAATTTATCTTCCAACGCACTGTGCGCTCGTCCGTCAAATGCAAAAATAACTGTCACTGTCTAAAATCTTTAGCGCCAACTTCAACTCGGTCAGTAGATGACGTAAAAAAACTGACAGTGCAGGAAGATAGGAATCGAACTATCCTTATCTCTATAGTATCCTTGAATGCAAGATGGATATAATTATACAGGGTTCAGCAATAGTGCGTCGGGCATCTGTAGCTCCTAGAATAAAAAACCTGGGAATTTTGTTTAAGTACAAACCTAAAGTACGAACTAGGATGTATTTCAGGAAAATATTTTAACTTCTATAGGGTGGCACAAAAAAGTGTAAGTGGATCAGGATGATTTTTTTTTTAAATGGAACACTTTTTTTCAGTAGATGGAGAATTAGAAAATGAACATTTTTTGTATTTAAAGTATTTCGAAAAGTTTAACGGTCTCGCAGATATTCGCGGTTTTATATTTTATATGGCATTTTCCACAGTAAATTTTTATCAAAGCCACCCAATAATTTTTCTATCGTATTTTACCGTTAAAAGAGCCATATGAAAAAATGCTGGGTGTATCTGCGAAACCATTAAAAATCTTGAAATACTTTAAATACAAAAAATGTTCATTTTTTAATTATTCATCTAACAAAAAAAATTATACACAGGGTGTTCCATTTAAAAAATAAAGAAAATTTATTTTATATTTTAGAAAGTTTGACGTAGAATTTTGAAAACCCTGTATGATTTAAGATTACGATATTTATAGCAAAGTAAGTATAGACCATCTAAAGTAAATACCTAATATAGTTTTGATTTCAGGACAGTTCATGTAATTGTAATATATTTTAAGGAAGGTTAAAAAATATATATTTTTTTATTTATTTATTAATATCTCTGAAATTATCGAAATACATTTACTCATATCTTAGGATTATGTAAAGTGATCTGAAAGGAAGCCAAAAAGGCAATAATATACAGGGTGTTCGTTTAAAAAAATCATGCCGATCCACTCACACTTTTCTGAGCCACCTTATAGAAGTTAAAATATTTTCCTGAAATACATCCTAGTACATACTTTAGGTTTGCACTTAAACAAAATTCCCAAGCTTTTTATTTTAGGAGCTACCTGCCCGTCGCACTATTGCCGGACCCTGTATAACTGATTACACAAATGTATATTTACATAAATCGCAATAGCGTCACCGTTAATTTAAGTTCTGACACACACACACACACACACACACACACAATTTCCTTCTAGATTTACTACCTCTAAATAAAACCAATCGTAGAATAAATGCAAAATATCATAAAATAAGTTCAGTAAAGACAAACAAATCTACAAAATCTAAAATCAAATTCAAATGCCTCAATTTGTCAAACAGAATTGCCAAGGATGGGGACCTACGATGTTGAAATATTAGTATTTTAATATGACAGATCGACAGATCAACTTTAGATGATATTCCCCATTGTCGATGGGGAATGTTTTTAAAAATATTCATCTCTTTTATGTAAAATAACTTAGAATTCCTTAAATAATGTACCTCAAAACAAATAATAAAACAAACTATTTCCAGGCTAAAGAAATTCCAAAAATAATTAACATGATAAACTGCGAGAAACAACCAATTCTACAGCTAGAGGTATGTTTCCACTTCAATGTTCTAATCTTTACTAATAAATAATGTAACCCTCATATGGGACACCCTGTACATTCTTATATGGGATACTCATATGAATTTTAATCCAAAATATAAATAGAATACGCAAAATTAAGCACCATAATATAGAAAATATATTGAATTATAGCTTTTTTCAGGCTGATATGTTTCTATTACAATGTAAACATCAAGAGTTGGATTTAACAGTTTGTGGACTATTTCCTATGCACAATCAAACATACTTAAATGTACGGTAACAATTATTTACTAAATAGAACATATCGATAAGATTTTAATATATTGTAGCTGTGTGGTTTAATATTAACGTATTTAGTCCTGATAGAAACTACAAACGGGTAACAAAAATCAAACTAAAAATATATACTTACCACAAGAGCTCCAATTCGATCTTGCACATCTTTAAACTTGTCCTTAAATGAAGCAACATTATTTTGAAGAACTTTCCTGTAGCTAAAACAGTAATAAATGTTTTAGAATAAATATTTTCACACTTATTGTAAATCACAACACTTATGTTCAACATCTAAACGCATTGATTTTAATAATAAAAAAATATTAAAACTTACAGGCCGGGTTTAATCCTTTCTAGTCCTTCCATTTTTTCCCTTTAGTTTATTTTATAACAAATTATTTAAATAAACATAAAACTAATTACGTCTCTTGAAAGAATCTTTTCCCAACTGTCACATTCAATTTCATTGAAGTTCAACGGTTTTTTGGTAGCGTCCTTTGAATATAACCTTACATTTTTTAATAAATCAGCGTCAAATGGTTTCAATCCAAAGTTCTTAAAGCATTAATTGATGTAAAATAACTGGAACATCACAAAACTATGATATAGATTATGATAAAAGCTGCAGGAAGGCAATGTTAATTAAAACTTTTAGTAATAAATTACTTTATGTTTTGTACAACTTCAACTTCAGATTCAAATTCAAATTGTTCTTCTGTGGTCTGTCCCTGTCCTTGTCCGAGAGTTATGTAGTAGTGTTGGGCAAAGTCTATCGATATTTTGTAAACGATATAAAATAAATACGTACAATATGGATGTCATTACAGTTGTTTATCTGTTTTATAATACTAAAATTCTCAGATTCTATAAAACACTTAAAGTGCTAAAAGGAATCTCCTGATTCTATATTTTTAGTGACGCTCAAATTTATTTGTGAGAGTAAAATTGTAAAAAGCTTTGTACCGTTCAAAAATACTCTGATACCTTTGTCTAATACCATCTACTTCGTGGCTAAAATTAAGTTAAACCACCCTGGGTATACCCCACCCTGTATGTAAATATAATTAGGGATAAGTTATTTTTTCCTCTGTTTTTTTTGCCGGCTTTCCACGGATGTATATGTTACGGTTAAGGTCCAACTCACTTAAAAAGGGTAAAAAGAATACACTAGAATACACCTATAATATGGATCGCCCACTCCTATACATCTTCCATTTAAAAAATCACTCCCCATAGTCGACAAGTCGACGCCATGAGGGCACAATTGACCATAGATAAATTTGAAATGACTTATGGCAACATTGATTCCCCTAAAATATTTAAGAATGGAATCATTGAATTTTGCCCTCATCCCTCATCCCCTTTCCACATCACTCATTATCAGCTGATCATCAGCTGATATTATTATTATTTGGAGAGGTTATCCAAACAAAAATAAAACTTTGCAAAATATTTTAATATTTTCCTGGTGATTTTGAATATTTTCTAGTTTTCTCTTAAATTTGAATATACACTTCAGTGTTTATGTAGTTGTCTGAGTCATAGATTTTATTACTTTAAGTAGGTACCTTGGGTTGTTAAATTTGTACCTATATTTCTTTAAATCGTTTTTGTTTCTATTATTTTACATAGCGCTAGTTGTTTATTAGTATTTGTAGGTATATAGTTGTTTATTAGTAATTGTAGTTGTTTAGTTTTTATATCTTTATTATTCATTAGATCCGTATAAGTAAAGATGTGTTTATAACATTTTCTTTTGACTAAATAAATCTGTATTTAAATTAAAACACGAATCAATAAATTATTAATGAGTACGTATATAATACTTACGTAAGAATGGAGTGTACAGGTAAGGAGAAATATCTTCGTGCATTAAAAGCATCATAGATGAACAAACAAGAATTTACATTAATACATGACCATCATACTCTGTATTTTTTAGACTCTATCAGAAACTCTATGTAGAAAATATCCTGTTTATACATAGTACTGCAAAAAATCTTGGCCATTACATTGACTAAGAAAATGTCTTGTAGAAGTTATAAATAGGGGTATTACTGCCTTGTTTTATAATTGATAGATGTAATAAGTCTCTAACTAAATATTGCATTATTTCGGAAAATATCGAACAACAAAGTTATATTAATTGAAAATTCTGAAGGCTACCGAACCGCCACCATATTTTTGAATTTTATTTTAAATTATATGGGTTTAATAGGTCCGAAACTGCCTAATTAACTATATTTAATGATAATCTATAGTTCTTTAACTATTTTAAAGCTTCAAAATCTTTTTTAAGGCAAAAATCTATTTTTTATGATATTAACAATTAGGGACATTGGTGTAATTAAAATGCGATATCTTTGTGAATTTTGCTTTATTCGTTTATTGTTTGGTGTCATTTTATTCGGAAAACACGTAGCTACATTTCCCTGGTAGTAGTTTTGACTCCAATGTAGCGTTATATTGCTAAATTTTCATTTAGACTTGAAGTTTAGGTCATAAAATTAAAAAATTACATAATTTTTCATCGGTAAAACAGAAGAAAAACGCTCGAGTTGGCGCTCCCTCTAGCTTCAAAAATTTAAAACCGAGCGCCAAAACTCAAATATCATTGGTCGTTTTGGTCGATTTTCGTCATTTCTAGACAGGCCGTTGACGACGTAAAATCTTTGTCGGTTGCCTCTCCAGAATTTTTAAGGAAAAATGCCTTTTCCTTTTATATTGTGCTCGGAAATCATGTGTAGTGCATAGCTAGACTCTTAGAGAGGGTAAGTTCGACAATTTTCCTACGAATTTCCCGATATTTTTCAAAAAATCCGACCATCTAAAGGCGGCCGGTAGAAGCGCAAGATCAACAAAAAAAGTCAAAGCCACCTTCATTTTGTTAAACTTTCCGTTTCTTTCTGTTTGCTTTTTTATACTTTCTGTTGCTATAAATAGTTCTTTTTTATGGTTGTACTGTATTAAAATAAATCATTTTCACTAATTTTCAGACTTAAATAGTTTGGATATAGTATTTTAGAAATAAAAACCTTATATAAGTGAATAAATTATAGTCGATCAATTTTCTGAAGAATATTAGTAGTGCACTTGATGGTTTTCTTGAAGGTATTATATAATAGAAGAATACTTATCTAATAAATATTTTATAAAATAATCTAAATAGAGTTTAGGAACCTGTAAAATACAGAAAAATTACATCTTCCTGTATTTATACTAAATAACATTTAAGAAACTTATATAAGTTAATAATAATTATTAGTACTTAATATTGTAAGTAAACCTAATTGATTGTTATTGATAGTTTTTCTGAAACTAGTAAATTTTCTTTGCTAATTCATTAATTCTATTTATTTATTAGAGATTTTTTGCTTAGGTTTTTATGTTTCTAGATGTTCTTGTCTTGTACAGGGTCCTGCAATAATGCGTCGGCCTTCTGTAGCTCCTAGGATAAAAAATTTTGTGAATTTCGTTTAAGTCCACACCTAAAGTATATACGAGGATGTATTTCTGAAAAATATTTTAATTTCTATAGAATCTAATTTCTATAGAGTGGCTAAAAAAAGTGTGAGTGGATCGGGATGCTTTTTTTAATGGAACACCTTGTATGTTATTGCATTTTTGGCTTCTGTCCAAATCATTTTATACATATATTATAACCCTATAATAAGATGAGTAAATATATTTCGATAATTTCAGAGATAAAAAAATGTATTTTACGAGGTATTTTACAAACTTCTTTAAAAAATTATTACAAATACAAGAACTGTCCTGTATATTATACGTACATTTCATATGGCTTTTCAACGGTAAAATACGAGAGAAAAATCATTGAGTGGCTTTGATAAAAATTTACTGTGGAAAATGCCACATTAAATATAAAACCGCGAATATCTGCAAAACCGTTAAAATTTTTGAAATACTCTAAATACAGATAAAAAAGCAAAAAAATCCAACAACATATAGGGTTTTCCATTTAAAAAAATCATCCCGATCCACTAATACTTTTTGGGCCACCCTATAGATGTTAAAATACAGGGTGGGCCACTGAAAACTTACAATGGCTATAATTTTTAAACCAAAAAAGATATCAAAAAAATAAAAAATACCGTTTCTATAATATCGAGGGGGAATACATATGACGTATTTTTTGAACCACCCCGACCTACCCCTAAGGCGGCACCACTACTCACTTGAAAATATTAAATGGCAACACCCCACTTGTGGCGCCTTTTTGGAAAGCCCATGAAAAATGCTAAACGATGATCATAAAGTTTTTAGGGTGAAATTGAAAAACTACCCCTTACACGAAAAATTAGGTGGACATTAATGAGAAAAGTGATTTTTTCAGCATAAGTTACAATTTGGGACCCAGCTAAATGAGGTTTTTTTCAAACTACCCCGACCCACCCCTAGGTGCCACCCCCTCACTTCTAACCTCAAGATAGCGATACCCCACTTGTGAGACCTCTTTGGAAAGCCTATAAAAAATTCTGAACGACTGTCATAAAAAAGAACGAAAAAAATAGAGCCTAAAAATAAAAAAAAATGCCAAAACGTGTCAAAATCAATAGAATGAATTATTTTTGTATCCATGAACCATTGCGAGAAAAAAGAGCTGGAACACAAAGAAATTTATTATAACTCTTAATGAAGACCTCATACACTTTCACCAAGATGGAGCCCCTTCGCATTATTCTATTGTCACAAGGCGGTGGTTGGATAAATATTATCCAAGGCAATGGATTGGCAGAAGGGGTCTAATCGAGTGGCCGCCAAGGTCACCTGATCCCACTCCTTTATACTTTTCCTTGTGGGGTTACACTAAATCCATAGTCTACAAAACAAAACCAGGTTCGTTGCAAGAATTGAGGCAGAGGAGAACTGAAGCATGTCGAAATATTCCGAGAGAGACTTTCCAAAAAGTGAGAGAAGAATTTGAAAATCGTTTGTATTTTTGTATGGAACAAAACGGCTGTCATTTTGAGCAATTATTAAAATAAATTTTATCATTTTAAATTTCTTTCAAATTGTCACACCTACATTTCTTGTCACTAACCAGTAATTAAGTTGAAGTCTGTATGACCATCGTTTAGCAATTTCAATTAGCTTTCCAAAGAAGTATCACAAGTGGGGTATCGCTATCTTGAGATTAGAAGTGAGGGGGTGCCACCTAGGGGTGGGTTGGGGTGGTTTGAAAAATACTTCATTTGCCGAATTTGTAACTTATGCTGAAAAAATCACCTTTTTCATTAATGTCCACCTAATTGTTCGTGTAAGGGTAGTTTTTCAATTTCACCCTAAAAACTTTATGATCATCATTTAGCATTTTTCATGAGCTTTCCAAAAAGACGCCACAAGTGGGGTGTTGCCATTTAAGATTTTCAAGTGAGTAGGGGTGCCTCCTAAGGGGTAGGTCGGGGTGGTTCAAAAAATACGTCATATGTATTCCCCCTCGATATTATAGAAACGGTATTTTTTATTTTTTTGATATCTTTTTTGGTTTAAAAATTATAGCTATTGTAAGTTTTCAGTGTCCCACCCTGTATTTTCCTGGAATGCATCCTAGTACATACTTTAGGTCTGAATTTAAAAAAAAACTTTCCAAGTTTTTTATTCTAGGAGCTACAGATGCCCGACGCACTATTGCCGGACCCTGTATATATATATAATTAGATGA